TCCTCCTCCTCCTCCTCCTCCTCCGCCTCCTCCCCCTCCGCCTCGACTCCACTGAGGAGGGCTCACCCACCGATCGTAACCTCTGGTGGTAGTCCCACTCGCCCCTCAAGGCGGCGGGTGTCCTAAAATTGGCGGGGGTAGCTTCCGCCTACCGTCCAACGGTCCTGCGGGGAGGGTTTGGAACACCCCGTCTCCCCTTCGAAACATCAAGAGGTGTGTCCTCCGATCTTGGCGGGTGTCGACTTCTAGGCCTCCGAGCTGCAACCGTCCAGCGGCCTCCCTGGGCAGCAGCGCCTGCTTGGGGCCCCGTGAAGATGAGACTTTGAGAAACCAGGACGCGGATGCACCAGGGAAAGACTGCGGCAGCGGGTCCGGAAATCCCCCATTCCTCATCCCCCGCTGGTGTGTTCGAAGTCCTGGGTTACGGGCGTTCGGTGACAGGAGGTGCACGGTGAATGAAGAAACGTGCACCTTCTCAACACCTGGTGGGCTCGGGGTTGCGGTGGAGACGTTCAGGGCCCCTTTGGGGCTACTTCCTTGCAATCCTCGCTCCCCCCCCACCTTTCGTTTATTGCCCCCGCGTCATCGAGCGACCAGGGTATGCTCCAGAGCGTGGTTGCCACGTCCTCTGGTTTCCCCTGTCCCGACCTGCAGCAGCAGGGCCCCATCCGGCCGCGGCAGCGTGAGCGCGAAGCTGCAGCCGAGCCGGGCGTAGTTGCTGGTCCAGCGCTGCCAGCAGCTCTCGCCGACGCTGACGGCATGGGCGGGCGCCTCGTCCAGGGGAGCACACCGCCTCCTTCTTCTTCTGATTCTTCGTTAACCCCAAGATAACTCCTCCCTGTCGCGCACCCCGACGTGTCGGCAGGGCGGGCCAAGCGGTTCCCCTGAGACGTCCACACCAGTTGTCACCCTGAAGCTTGACATGTGCAACACATTCACGGATGCAGGGCGGCTCGATTTCAACTCAACATGTGCTTCTCACCCAAGCGCGCGCACATGCGTCTTATAGCTTTGCACGAGCTTCCAGGATGGAGGGCGGGCCGCTTCTACAGTGCGACTCTCGCCTGAGCGCCGCGCGCACTCGTCTAAAAAGTGTGCCGTCGGGTCAAGGATGGAGGGCGGCCCCTTCTCAAAGTGCGGCTCTCGCCTTAGCGCCGCTTCCAACATGCGACACCCTGCTTTTAAGGATTCGCACGGGTGAAGTCCCAGGAACGGTGTCTTGACACGGTTTGAGGTTGCCACGTCGCACCAGTCACGTTGTTGCGCTGCGCCGAAGTCCCAAGCACGGCGTTCTGGCGCGCTTCGGGATGGTCAGGTCAACCCAGTCACGTGGACTCGCCGCGCTAACCTCCCTCCTCCCTCCTCCTGCAGTCTCTTGAGCTTCCCCGGGGCCTTCCTGAGGCCTCCTCTCCTCCTCTTCCTCCTCCTCCTCCTCCTTCACCTCCTCCTCCCTCACCGGGGGCGAGGATGACCCTCTCCATCCTCCTGCCCCCTCCTGGGCAGGGAGAAAAGGTGGAGGAGAGGGAGGAGGAGACTGGGAGGAGGTAGGAGGCAGAAGAGGGAGGGAACGAAGGGACACCACTCATCCTGTACATCCCGCTCGTCTCCCGCTCCTCCCTTCTGCTGCTCGTTGCTGCTCGCTGGCTTCGTCTCGGTGTATGCCAGCGCCGACACCATTTTGAACGTTCCCGTGCAGTCAATGTGCTAACATGACTGTTCGACGAATGAACAAAGAATGGACTCTCCTGGCCATCTCGACTGCCTGCCATGAAGTTCCCCGACACAGCTCCGAGGAGCAGCTCGAAAACCAGAGCACCTCCTGAGCCCAAGACTGGGATTACTTTGACGTTTGGGCTGCACAATCTTGAACGCTCCCGTACCGTGCCCCCGTCCATGGCCTTTGGAGACAGAAAGGGGAGTTCTGGAGATCCCAATCCCGCACTCCGTGGGGTCTTCGCACGGTGGACGACAAGCATCGGGGGGCCACAACTCGGAGGGGGCCGCGCCCATCCTCGACGGGGGCGTGCCCGAACGGCCTCCACCTGGGAATTGGCGACCTGCTACGAAATGGAGTGTCGCTCCGCTCCGCGGGCGGGGAGGCTGGGCAGGGCTCGGCACGTGGACGCCTGGGCACCGCCACGCGGATGCTGTGCCGCGCTGGAGCGTGGTGGGCCGGAACCGGCGGAGCCACGCGCCATCTAGAAGTGCCCGACCGCATCTCAGAGACGTTTCCCCACTCTCTGAGCGGCCGGGACCTCACGGGCGGAACGCGGGGACCGGGGTACCAAACGTTCCCGACCGCATCCCAGAGTTTTCCCCCTTCTCTGAGCGGCCAGAATCTCCCTGGCAGAACTCGGAGAACGGGACACAGAAAACCGCCTGCGAGGAGACGACGCAGAGAAACCGCCTAGAAGGAGACGACGACGACGACGACGACGACGAGGGCTAAGGTTAGGTCGGGCATGTCCTCCTACAGGTGGATGTGGGAAGAAAAATGAAACACAATCGACAACATAGCAGGCACAAATCATCCAACACACGGAACATATCGTCCCCCGACTATTTGTTGCCTGCCTATCTTTGAGCGGTCCTGAGCTTAAGCTGCAGGCCTAAGGCGAGGTTAAGCTAAGCTTAAAGCTTAAGGCTTAAGCTCAAGGCCAGGAGAGTGCTGCGCGCGCGCCTCGCCGAAGCAGAGGTCCTCCGCGGCCACGGCGTCCGCCCAGGAGCTCAGGACCAGCCTGGGGCGGGGAGGAGGCCTGCCCCTCCTCCTCCTCCTCCTCCTCCTCCTCCTCCTCCTCCCCCTTCTCCTCCTCCTCCTCCTCCTTCTCCTCCTCCACCTCACGTCCGAGCACCTCGACTGCGGGGGCCCAGGTACATACAAATGAATGGACACAACATTCCCAAGCTCACCAAGATGTTCCATCTGCTCCGTCTGCTCGTCTTCCTCTGCGCTTCCCAAATTGCCATGCTTTCCTGGGAATCGACGATCCTTTGTATCTGTGTGTGCGCGTTCCCTCTCGAATCTCGACACCACCATCAGAATCAACATCATGACCGTGAACATCGTCGTCGTCGCAGTCGCCGTCATCAACACCGCCACCGTCATCAACATCATCATCGCTATCAGCAGCACCAACAACACCATCGTCGTCAGCATCTACTTCCCCATCATCTCTGAATCATCACCATCATGAGCATGATCACGGTCAGCATCGCAATCATCATCAGCACCCTCATCACCTCCATCATAACCACCATCAGCATCATCATCATCAGACTCATCACCACAAACATCACCATCATGACCACCACCATCACCATCACCGTGACCATGCCCATGCCCATCATCATCATCATCATCATCATCATCATCATCATCAGCATCATCATCATCATCATCATCACCAGCAGCATCATCATTATCATAATCAGCCTCATCCTCATCCTCCTCCTCCTCATCATCACCACCACCGACGTCATCACCAACACCATCATGTCAGCACCATCATCATCACCACCATGATCATCATCACCTTCATCATCGTCATCATCACCTCCACAATCATCTCCATCCTGATCCTGATCCTGATCCTTATCCTGATCCTCCTCCTCCTCATCATCATCATCATCACACCACCATCATCATCATCATCATCATCATCATCATCATCATCAGCAGCAGCAGCAGCAGCAGCAGCAGCAGCAGCATCAGCATCAGCATCATCATCACCGACGTCAGCATCCCTCTCGCCCCTCTCCTTCCCTCGCCCTCCCTCCCTCCCTCTCCGCCTCTCCTCCCCTCACTGGGGGGAGGGCGGGAACCCTCGGCGAGGCCTGGCCGCGAAGCGCTGCGCGGGCTGCCTCGCCTTCCACCGCCAGAACTCACGCGTCGCCGCGGGCCTCAGCTCCGTCAGGATCGCGCTGGCGGCCTCCACGTGGTCTCGGGGCAGGTCCAGGTCCACGAGCCTGGGCAAACAGGTGCGCCCCCCTCGCCGCTTCGCCGCTGCGAGGGCTCGGTACAGCGTCGTCGGCGGAGGGCATTTCGAAGAGGGCCCGTGGGGAGACGGGGCACTTTCGCGCAGCTTGGACTTCGGGCTGGGGAGTTTCGACTCCGGTCGAACAGTTTGCTTCGGCATGTCTCCCCTGGGGATCCCACAACAGCTGTGGGAACACAGAGTCCAACAGCTCGGCCACATTTTTGCCCGACGTCTTGTCGCATAGGCAATTCCAAAAGGCGGTGGGCGGCTGTGGCTCGCTGCATGCGTCTTTGATACAGAAACGGGTGATCCCCTCCCCTTCCCCCCCGCCCCGCTCCTGAAAGGGGAAGGGGCGAGAGAGTTGGCACCTGTGCATGCCTTTACTACAGGCCTCCTAGATGAGGCCCGCGCAGATGGGGTCGGAGAATCGCGCCGCATCGCTGATGCATCACAGATACATCGGCGATGCATCGGCGACGTCGGCGATGCATCGGCGACATCGATGTGGAGACAATTGCGTCGTACATCGAGCCGCATCGCCGGTGCATCCCCGATGCATTGGCGATGCGGCGCGATCCTCCGACCCCGTCTGCTCCGACCCCATGTAGGAGGCCTAGATCCACCCTCCGAGAGCCCGCTCATGCCGCCGAAGTTGCCCACGGCGCCCAGGGCCCCTCGGTAGTCGACCACCAGGCTGGCGGGCAGCGCGGCGTCCAGCGCCCTGACGACGGCCGCGTAGGCCACCTGTTTTGGTGGCTGGATGCCTGTGACTCGACGGCCTGCCCCCCGACGGTGGCACGTCGGGGAACTGTACACTTCCCAACCGCCCTGGGGTGGTAGGCGCCGACAGCGGCAACACGTGTCGCCGCGCCGCTTGCTCAAGTTGCGCCCGAGTGGACAACGCCGACACCACGGCAGACCCACGGCAACTCTTGCGGCCCGCGCCCAGGTTGACGAAGCCAGCACCGCGGCGCAAACCCCACGGCAGATCTTGCGACCGCGGCGCGGCGCGTGCCCCGGTGGCCCGGGCGCCCTCCCCCAAAGACGTGAGGCGGGGCGTCGGGAGAAACGGCGCGGCGGCATACGTGCTTTTCCTCCCTTCGCTTAAGTCGTGCCTGTCCTCCTACAGGAGGATTTTGAATGAACAAAAAATCAAGGAAATCCCCCAAATGGCAAACAAATGCCCCAAAGTGGTCCCCAGACTAGTTTTTGACTCTTTCTGAATGCTCCTCCTGTTGAGGGACAGGCCCGACTTAACCCCTCGTCTGCTGAACCTGGTCGCTGGTGAAGGTGTCGCTGTCGAAGATCAGCCTGCGCCCGCGCGCAGCCTCGGACAGCGCGGCCGCCGCCTCCCGCAGCGCCCCGCGCTCCATCACCACGGCGAGGACCACGGGGTCCGCCAGGGGAGGGCACCCCGACGGGGCGCACGCGCGGCGGTGAAGGCCTGCAGAGTCAGGTCGGGAGGGCGAGGAGGAGGAGGAGAGGAGGAGGAGGAGGAGGAGGAGGAGATGGAGTAAGAGGAGGAGGAGGAGGAGGAGGAGGAGGAGGAGCAGATGGAGGAGGAGGAGGGAGGAGGAGGAGGAGGAGGAGGAGGAAGAGGAGGAGATGGAGTAGGACGGGTCGCCTAAGCCCTTCGAAGAAACCCTCGCTTAACATACTACGCTTAGGTCGGGAATGTCCTCCTACAGGCAGATTTCGGAAGGAACAAATGACAAAAAATACGCCAAACTTGTCAAGAATACTCAACAAGCCGTCCCCTGATTCGTTGACTATCTTTAAACATTCCTCATGTAGGGGGACAGGCCCGACCTGGCTCTAGAGTGGAGGCCGCCCGACCTGGGGCTGCAGCAAGCGACTTCGGAAGATCGCATCGGCGAAGGACCGGCTGCGTCGGCATGTGTCGGGAGACCCTTCATGGGGGGGGATCCCATGGGGGGATAGGATCCCAGGGGGGGGATCCCATAGGACCCCCTGGGGATCCCATTGGGGGGACAGGAGGGGATCCCATGGGGGGGATCCCCTCCTGCCCCCCCATGGAGAGTCTCCCGAATGTGGGAGGCCGGGCCCCGGCTCGCGCGCAGTCCTCGGGGCCCCGAGAGCGGGAGAGCCTCTTGATGAGCCCAGGGAGCGCCGCACCCGGACGGAACCTGCAGCTGCAGGCATGAGCATGCATTTCAGTAATGACATTCTACTGGCGAAGCTTTCGGCGACAAAACGCCAATCAAAAAATAAACGATTTCAACCAAAAATGAAAGGCGTAGCGTTGGTAAGAGCGCAACTATCTGATTGCGAAAGCATGCGAGCCCGCGCGATGTTTCATGCCCAAGTAGGCTACTCCGAGCGGGGAGAATGCAGCATTCTCTCCGCTCCCGGCTCTCCCTGGCCAGCTGGAATGTGCAAAATCCTGGTTCGCAGTTTCATGCCTGCCAGAGTACTGCGATCCTCCGAGCCCATCTGCAACTGCGCATTTTGAAGAGCAACAAACAACATATACGTAATTTCTGAGGTCCGTGTGGGCGTCTTGGATCGGCGCTGGGCCCCTCTCCGCGGCGCGTGGAGTGCGCCAGGGGCGGCGCCGGAGGCGCCGCCAGGGTGGCCTGGCGCCGATCCGATCCGCGCAGAACTTAAAGAAATCCCACCGGCCCTCTGGGCGTAGTCGTGGCCTAATGAGTTCTTTCTCTCCTCTTGCAAAGCCACTCTGTCCTTCAAGAAAGGGTTCCCTCCTCCTCCCCTCCCTGAGGTTGTTTGAGGGGGTTCGCGAGCGGTCAAGGCACCCAAGATGGCTCCAAGAGGGCCTCTGCTGTTCCATGATGGCCTCCAAGGCGGTTCAAGATGGCCTAAGATGGTCCACGATAGCTTCCCGCATACCTCCAAGAGGCCCGCCGAGGGCCACAAGACGGTTCAAAGTGCTCTCGAAGCCTCCTCGGGAACCCCGAGAAGAGGCCCCAATCCTTCAGAAGTCCACAAAACATCAATGACGTTTGCCTTCTCGCCTTTTCGCTTCCGATGCGCTTTTGAAGCCTCAAGATGGGCCCAGAATTGCCCAAAGGGGACCCAGTAGGCACCCTAGACGGCACTCAAAGCGCCCAAGAGCACCCCAAGAGCACCCCACGATGCAATTTTGAGAGCCCCAGAGGGAGGCAAATCGAAGACCCCCTCCCCCCGTTTTGATCGATGGCCTTCAAGATGACACTCCGGGGTTCCCGAGAAGGCCCCAAGAGGGCCCTTAGACATCCAAAAGATCCCCAAGAGTATCCCAGGATCCCCCAAAAGAGCCTCAAGAGGGCCCTTAGAGGGCCTCAAGAGGACCTGGCCCTAAGAGCGCCTCAAGAAACTCCCCAGATGGCTGCCAGAGTACTCGTGCTCGTCCTCCTCGTCCTTGTCCTCATCGTCCTCTCTTTCTCCTTTCCTCCTCCTCCGCGTCCTCCGCCTCGTCGTCATACTTTTCGTCCTCGTCCTCTTCCTCGTCCTCGCCTTCGTCCTTCTCATCGATCTTACCCTCGTCGTCCTCCTCGTCCTTGTCATCATCTTCCTCGTCTTCCGCCTTCTCCTCCTTCTCCTCCTCGTCCTCGTATTCTCGTCGTCGTCCATACCCTCCTCCTCCTCCTCCTCCTCCTCCTCCTCCTCCTCCTCCTCCTCCTCCTCCTCCCCCTCCTCCTCCTCCTCCCCGCCCTCATCCTCTGCATCCTGAGTTCACTATGATTGCCGGCTTCGTTTCACTATCTGTGTCTCTTCCTCCCTTTCCCCGTCAGCTCTCATGGGCGCCGTTTCTGAATGGGCTGGTGGGGGTCCGCGAAGCGTGACGAGTGTTGTTTATGCCGCTTGTTCTCATTCGAAGTGCCATCTGCTCTGGCCCACTGTGGGGCGGCCCGGAGCGTATGAACTCCCGGCGCACTCTGATGCCACTGCCGAGTGAACCGGGGTAGATTTCCTCTGTAGACTTATGTGGGAGGGCTTTCTCGCAATGCCCGATTCTTGGCGGCCTGGATCCTGAGAACCATGGACGCAGCGCACGATGAGACTGATCATGGCAATGATATCGGCATGAGAGTAACAGCTACAATTTGATAGTCATCATGTAATAAGAATTCAACATCCGTCTGGCTACACTAACGATCTATATATATATATATAAACAGAATACTAAGACTACGAATCAGCATACGAATATGAATGACACGAACACTACGCACAATGAATGATGATGACGATCACAGTCATTCCGACGGTAGGACTCGACAAGATAATCGAATTATATTGCCCTTCGCTCATTACCCGTCTCGCCCTCTGTTGCGCCTCCTCCTTGTCCTCCTTGTCTTCCTCGTCCTCCGTCTCCTCCTCCTGATCGCCCTCCTTGGTCAATTTGTCTTGTTCCTCTGTGTCCTTTTCCTCTTCCTCCTCCTCCTCCTCCTCCTCCTCCTCCTCCTCCTTGCCCCCCCCAATCTCCATCCCGCGTGTTCTCCTCATGCACCGCTCCTTCCTCCTGGCAGGGGGGCGCATGCAAGTGTTCCTCGGCGCCCTCACCGCCGCGCCCGGCAGGGGCGCGTTCTCCGATGGCAAAATCGCGAAGCCGTCGGGGCAACGGCGAGTGGGACAACCCCGCGAGACGCTGGGGCGCGAAGGCGAGCCGTTGGAGCCGAAAGGCAACGACAGTTGCAAGATCCCGATGGCCCGCACGGATTACCACCGTGAAGTGCGGACCCCATAAGGAGGGCCTCTCGCCTGAGATTTCCTCGCAATAAGCTCACAAACGAGGCTCCCGCCTGAGACGTCCTCCATATTCAATCCAGAGGAGTCGAAAAGCAACGACACTTACAAGATCCCGATGGCCCGCTCGGATTACCAACATGAAGTGCGGACCCCAAAGGGATGGCCTCTCGCCTGAAACTTCCTCGCAACTCACTCACAGACGAGGCCCCTGTTGGCCCATGATCACGATGGGATGGTGATAGTGATGACGATGGTGGTGCGCGCGGGTGATGATGACGACGATGATGTTGATGACCGCTGATCGTGATGGGATCATGGCACGATGATGATGAGTGAGTGACGGAAGAGCGTGAATGAGTGAGAGAGCGAAGTGGCTGATTATTGGTGAAGATGTAGTGGGGTAACAGATCAAGATGTTTGTGATAATTGTAATGGGTATGGCGACTATGCTGATGATGACGATGGCGATAATGACCATGCTGATGATGCTGTTGATGATGTTGATGCTGTTGATGATGATGATGGTGATGATGATGATGCTGATGATGATGATGATGATGATGGTGGTGTTTTCGAGGAGGAGAAAAGGCGAGGTGGAGAAAGACTGCGCGGGGTGTCGGGATAACGCCAACACCCCGTTTAGGATGTGGGGAATCATACGAATGCTGATGAACCAGTAATTAGTACTACGCAACTAATGCGTATACGAATGCTGTTGCTAACTGGTACGTATACGAACCTCAAAGAACCCTACAAACACATTCATGCTACGAATACTGAATGCTCATAGTGCTGCTACTGCTACTATCACGTTCGTTGCAACAAATCATGAGACTGCTGGTGATGCTGACGACGGTGATGCTGCTGATGGATGACGGCCTAAGAACTCCGGGCACAGGGACGGGGCGCAGAGGTCCGAGCACGCCAGGTCCAGCACGAGGCGGTCCCTCTCCGAGGGGGCGCCGGGCTCGAGGGCGCCGTGCAGGCGCGCCCAGGCGCGCAGGAAGCGCCCGAGCCCCGCGGCGTCGGACAGGCCGCGGGCGTAGCTGAGCGCCAGGATCTGTCCTCCCTCCTGGAGGTGGGGGGCCTCCTCCACTGGATGGCCGCCAAGACCCTCTGGCTTCCGCCCTCCTTCTCCTCCTCCTCCTCCTCCTCCTCCTCCTCCTCTTCTCCTCCTCCTCCTCCTCCTCCTCCTCCTCCTCCTCCTCCTCCCCCTCCCCCTCCCCCTCCCCTCCCCCTCCTCCTCCTCCTCCTCCTCCTCCTCCTCCTCGTCGTCCTCCTCCTCCTCAAGACCCTTCAACATGTCCCCACGCAGACATAAATACAGTAGGGGCCCGATAACAAGAAGCCTTCCACAAGAAACCCAACCCTGAGACCTCAGGAAGTCCATGGATTTCTGGTGCGAGAACATCAGCCACGCGCCCAGGAACAGTGAATGACCGCTCGGCCCCCTCACTCTGACATTAGACACAGATTCCAGGACTCCACATGTTCATACAAAGCATCTTCTGGAGGTTCGTCTTCCCCTCCACGTCCCATGGTTTCCTAGATTCTCTTGGACATCGACGTTTATGTGTGTCTGTGAGCATGTTTCCCCCCTGACTGCTTTCGGGAACGTATTGTTCAAGAAGGGTGCTGCTGGAGCGCCTCTGGTCAGGCTGTGGGGCCTCTAATCGGGCTGCGGGGGCCTCAGGCCTAGCGAAGAGACCCTTGTCCCACGAACTCTTTTTGCAGGCACTCTCCTCGGAGACACAACAAACTGCATAAACACAATCATAACCATAACCTGCGCTGGGCCCCCTTGGCGGCGCCTCTGGCGCCGCCCCTGGCGCACTCTGCGCGCCAGGGAGGGGGGTCCAGCGCCGATCCAAGAAAGCCGTGCGGACCTCCGAAAGTTTATGTTTGTACAGTTCATTATTTTGGTTGACTCCTTTCGCAGAGGAAGAAGCCCCGAGTTCCAGGCGCTGCAAATTCTTCACTAAGCGTTTCCGCCCACCTTCGCATCCTGGGGCCATCAGAGATCGGTCCGGCTCGGAAAATCCGCCGACCCTGTCGGCGTGTGTGAGGGGCTGTGCCGTTCGTCGTCGTCGTCGTCGTCGTCGTCGTCGTTGCAGTGCTCTAGCGGGCTTGAGGGAAATCAGCCCATGTCGTAATCACGTCAAATGGAAGCCCCTTCCCTTCCCTTTGTCCCTTCCCCGAGGGGTGGTCCTGGGGGGGCCCCAGGGGGGATCGCCACATACGCTTTCACTCCCCGCGCGTCCGGCGCGGTCCCCGCGCGAGTCGGGAACCCCGCGCGGCTTCCCGGTTCCCAAAATGGCCCCTGGAGGCGAAAATGACAAACGACTGAACATGTAGAACAACTCCCCCTCCCCCTCCTTCTGCTCCTCCTCCTCCTCCTCTTCCTTCTTCTCCTCCTCCTCCTCCTCCTCCTCCTCCTCCTCCTCCTCCTCATGCTCACCCTGCGGACTCCGAACCCCAGTCTCGAGGATCGAGGCTTTCTGGCGATGCCGTAGCCCTCTCTTCGGCCACCCTCCTGCTCCTCCTCCTTCTCCTCCTCTTCCTCCTCCTCCTCCTCCAACTCCTCCTTCTCCCGCCACCCCCCTGTCCTACTCCTCCTCCCCTCCTCCTCCTCCTCCCCTCCTCCTCCTCATCCTCCTCTACCTCCTCCTCCTCCTCCTCCTCCTCCTCCTCCTCCTCCTCCTCCTCTCCTCCTCCTCTCATCCTCCCCCCTTCTCCTCCCCTCCTGCTCCACCTCTTCCTCCACGCTCCTCCTCCCTCCTCTCCTCCTCCTCCTCCTCCTCCTCCTCCTCCTCCTCCTCCTCCTCCTCCTCCCCCTCCTCCTCGCCTCCTCCTCCTCCTCCTCCTCATCATCTTCCACGGCCTCCGTCTCCGCCCACTTCGTCGCCGACGTCGTGGTCCTCTTCAGGGTCGGCGGCACCGGCCGTCAGGCCTTCGAAATATACACCGGAAAGATGGGGTCTCGAACTCCAGTTGCGATTTTTCGCGATGTCGCCTCTTTGTTCGCGACGTCGGACCTCAGGGAATGCCTCAGAAATAAACGTTCCCGCAGTCGGTGACGCTGGCCCCAGGTCCGCTGGGAGGGTTTTACCCCTGCGGCGGCGCCACGCCGTGGGATAGCGCCGTTTTTCGCCCGCCGGGTGAGCGACGATCCACGACGGGTCTTACGCGAGATGGCCTGGCGACCTTACGCGGTGGCTCACGCGGGCCGCCCGCGCGGCCCGCTGCGCCGGAAGCGCGGGCGCTCACGCGCGGCCCTCACGCGGGCAGCTGACGCGCAAATGCCGGCGAAGACGATCCCGTTTTGGGGGGTCGCTCACCTGGCAGTTTCCGCCAATCCTGCACCCAAACACTCTGCCTAGAGGCCGCCTAGCTGGGGTCCGAATAGATGGAGTCGAAGGATCGCGCCGCATTACCAATGCATCGGCGATGCATCGGCGATGCATCGCCCATATATCGGCGATGCATCGGCGACGTCGGCGTGGGGAAACACGGGCTCCGCATCGAGCCGCATCTTCGATGCATCGGCGATGCGGCGCGTTCCTCCGTCCCCATCTGCAGTCGGCCCGTATCATCAGGATGTGCGATGAGGATGCAAGGGCCTTGGACGCCCACTTCGAAGCTTTCCGAGCGGGGCGCGGCCAGCGAAAGAGGCCAAGCAGGGACCGAGGAGGCAAGGATGCAAGAGTACCCTTGGGAAGGATGCCCATCCTTACAGTGCGGGTTGACTGTACTCGGACCCCACCTGGGAGGGACACATTCTTTGTACTCCCCCAGGAGGAGGAGGAGGAGGAGGAGGAGGAGGAGGAGGAGGAGGAGGAGGAGGAGGAGGAGGACCCCACCTGGGAGGGACACCTTCCTTGTGCTCCCCCCTGGCCTCCCGGCGGGAGTGGCGGACCCGCCGCCGTGGCACTTACTTCCGCGCCCTCCGCCCCCGGACAGGAGACGCCAACTCTCCTCGACCCCTCGGCTGGGCGGCGAGCGAGGGGGGGATGTTTTTTCTCCTGCAAATGAACTCGACAACATAACCAAAACACACGATGCCCGTCCAACATCAGATCCGCTGCCCCTCATGGGGGCTATCACGGCACCCATTGCATCTAGGGCTTGGACTGCGACCGTGACTAAAAGTAGCCGGCCGGGTTAACGTCACCCCTATCGGCGAGGAGGGGGGGAAATGAGCAGGAGAAGCCCTTTGTCACAGTGGACCAGAAAACAAACGACACCACCCTCCCCCCCACGGCACCAGGGGCCTTGGCGTATAACAAGACATCTTTTTTCTGACCGCCCTCTGGACTTTTCCTTGCGGGCCGCAAATCAAAAAGTATAACAGGACATCTGGCGTGGGATTTTGCGTGGTACGGCGCCCGATGGGCCGTAGTGCAGCATGGAGGGCCGTGGGTGGGGTGATGTCCTTTGGCTTTCGGTCGACGGAAGGCGGCGGGACTTCTCGGAGGCCCTCGCGCCTTCTGACCGGCTCCCTGTGCCTTCGGGCAAGGCTCAAAACACCTCTCGGAAGGCCGGTGGGCTTCCGGGCCCTCTGAGAAGGCCGTCTCCCTCTCGCGTTCCCCCCCCCCCCCTCGCTCGCCGTCGATCGGCGGGCGAGGGCGCCCCACGGCCTGGCTCCTTGAAGGAGGTGAGCCTCACCCGCAGCAGCGGGCCCCCGCCGCGCTCCGGCGCGGCCGCGTCCGCCAGGTCGAAGAGGCGGCGCGGCAGCGGCAGCGACTCCGCGGGCCAGGGCTCCTCTCGGGACGATCGAAGTGGGCACAGACTTCGGCCTGGCCTACGGAACGAGACATAAGACACGAGGCCCCTTGTTTCCCGGTGATTCTAGGAAGTCCGAAGGAACACCAGGGGGACTCGCCGCCAAAAAGGTAGCGAAACGCAACCAAACCAAAGGAACGACCGAGCCCCTTTTGAAAAGCAAGTGTTCCTTCTTCAAGCCGGACCCTTTACGGCAAGAGTGGGCGCCATGCCCAACAGCACTTCCAGTCCATCACCAACAGGACTCGCGCTGTCCGCGCCGCCGCGGGCGCTGTTTTTTTGCGGGATCAAAAAGCCGCCTGCCCAGCAGCGGCCGTTGTCGGTGTTGGACGGCATTTGTTGTTGGGGGCACTGTACCCATTGTTGCCGTACCCATTTCGGGCGTCCGAATCCTCCGTGCTCGCGCTGCAGAAGGAGGCCCCGGCGTTGCTGCACAGGATGCACGTCCTCGCCTCCTTTAGAGGCCTCCTTGATGGGGTCAGAGTAGATGGGGTCGGAGGATCGCCCAGCATCGTCGATGCAGCGTCGATGCATCGGCGATGCATCGGCGACGCATCAGCGACGCATCAGCGATGCATCGGCGACGTCGGCGTGGAGCAAATCGGGCTCCACGTCGAGCCGCATCGCCGATGCATCGGCGCGGTCCTCCGACCCCACCTACTCGGACCCCATCTAGGAGGCCTGGATCCTTGCGGGGCAGCACGCCTACCTGCACCTCTCCGGGGGGGGCGCAGAAGGGCGGGGCAAAGGGGGGGGCAGTGGGGCGCGGGAGGAGAATCGCTCTGAGCGCCCCCCTGGGACCAAGAGGCCCCAAGAGGCCTCCAAGATGCGTCCCACGAGGGTCCCTAGACGCAAAAATTGGCCCATTCCCTTCGTAAAACGTACATTTTTCACGAATTCGCTTTTTGGGCTTTCCGACGCTCCCAGACGGCCCAAGAGGCCCTAAATACCGCCCCAAGACGGTCCAAGCAGCCTCCAGGGAAGCTCCAAGGCAGCCCAAGAGAGCCCCAAGACAGCCCAAGAGGCGCCCAAGATTGCCCAAGAGGGCCCCGAAGACGGCCCCAAGAGCGCTCCAGGAGCGCTTCAAGTGGCCTCCAAGAGAGCTCAATATGGTCACAGACGGTCGAAGAGCGATCAAAGCTGGCAGCTACGAGCAGTGAGGGCGGAAACGCGGCGATAGCCGCCGGTACGAATCAAGGGGTCGGCGGATGTGGCGTGAGCCTGGAGAATCGCTCTGAGCGCCCCCCTGGGAAAACGGAGGCGCGAACATCCCGCGGGCTGCCCCCCGCTCCCCCCTCGCTGATGGAGGAGCGCCAAACTACTGCACAGACAGAAACTGTCGGAAGCCGTCGCCAGGAGGGCCGGGCGCAGCTCCGGGGAATCCGCGCGGACCTTCGAACGTTTGTGCTCCTGCTGTTTTGTTTTTCGAGTCCAGCCAGCTTCCCCCCTCTGACGCTCGAAAGGGGTGCTCAAAACGTGCGTGTGCGATCCCAACAACAAATGTTGTCCAACACCGGCAGCGCCCGCTGCTGGGCAGGCGATCTTCTGTCTCGAACAGACGACGTCCGCGGCAACGCCGACGAGTCCTGCTAAGCATGGGCAGAAACTGCGGTGCGTCTTCGTGATCATTCTTTCCGTACCCATGCCGATCGCACCGATCTACCTGCTTGCCCTCGAACCTCGGCAGAACTTCGGCCCAATCTACGCGCCCTCGGAGCTCGGATGTATCGGGTCGGCGCTGGGCCCCCGTCACTGGCGCGCGGACCGCGCCGGGGGCGACGCTGGAGGCGCCGCCAGGGCAGACGGTTGTGCTCCTGCCTCTTTAGTTGCTCTTTTGATGTACCTTATTACTATTCTCCTTCTTCGAATCAAGTTGGCTCCCCTCCTCTACTGGAAGGCTCCCAACCAACTGGGGCTCGAGCAGGTGGTGCATCGGCAACGACGAAAAAAAAAGACGCATTGGCTCCGTTGGCGTGGAGAAGCTCGGGCTCCGCATCGAGCCGCATCGGCGATGCGGCCTCATCGACTATAGAGCCCTACGTGTGGGGCCTGGGTCTGCGCACCCGGCGAACCTCGGCCCGCACGAAGCGCCCGGCACACTCCGGGAACAGCGCCAGGGCCTCGCTCAGCGACCGAGCCGCCGCCTCGGGCTCCAGGGCCTTCGCGAAAGCCAGGCCCACCTCTCGCGCGATGCGAGGGAGGGGGGGGCCTGAGGGTTCGAGGAACAAACAACGGCGTTAAAATGAGACCGTCGCAAGTCCACGCGGATTTCTTGGGCCCGCGCTGGAAAAGCGGCTCCTAAGAGGCCCCCACCCCAAGAGGCCTGCAAGAGGCTGGGAGGAGGCCCCCGAGAGGCTCCAAGTCACGCCCCTCAGTCCCACGATTCGCATGTGCCACCATAGACCAGGGGCGGCTGACTCATGATTGTGCTTTGTTGGGCGGAGCACTGCAGCGACTACCATATGCCAGCCACATCTGGCCTATTTCGATCTGTGGTCGTGACAAGTAAGCCCAATGCTAATCGTCGTCCCCGGCCCCTTCCAAAACATGGCGGGCACCCTGCACTGGTGTGGGGGAACCTGGTCCACCCTAACTGGGTTGGAGGCTCCTCCTGCTCCTCCTCCTCTCCTCCTCCTGCTCCTCATCCTCCTCCTCCTCCTCCTCCTCCAACACCTCTCCCTGCTCATCACTTCTTCTCCATTCCTCCTCCTTCTCCTCGCACTCCTCTCCCTCTCCTCCTCCACTTCCTCCTCCTCCTCCTCCTCCTCCTCCTCCTCCTCCTCCTCTTCCTCATCCTCACCATCATCACCGCCACCAACACCACGGACCCCCGACATGCTGCCTTGGTTTGCGAAGCGTTTGGATCTAGAGCTCTCGACACCATCATTTGGTGAACTGTGATCGCACCGTGCTCTAATACGTATGTGCTCAGATGCATCATAGGAAACGGGCTCCCGCCTGAGACTGCCTCGCAATTCACTCACAAACGAGGCTCCCGTCTGAGACTTGCCCCACACTCAAGCGTGAAGAAACCAAGAACGACGACAAATACTGGTTCCCGAAGACCCGCTCAGATTAATAACATCAGCTGCAAGCCCCATTAGGAAGGGGCTTCTGCCTGAGCCTCCCTCGCAATTCAATAACTGACGAGGCTCCTGTTCGAGACTGCCTGCCGATGAGTGTGCGAGTGCGAAAACATGGTGTGGTGGTGATGAATATCATGATGATGTTGTGGTGATGGTGATGGTGATTGTGAATAACATAGTGTGGTAGTGGTGGTCGATCGAGGGGGGCGGGGATTTTCGCTCTGTCAGGGGGGGGGGGGCTGACGCCATAGCTGACGCCATTCAGGCCTGGGAGGGAGGGGAGGCGGGGACGCCATGGCTGACGCTATTCAGGCCCGGGAGGAGGGAGTCGGGGGGGGGGGGGCTGACGCCATGGCTGACGCCATTCAGGCCTGGGTGACGCCATTCAGGCCCGGAAGGGAGGGACTGGCTGACGCCATTCAGGCCCGGGAGGAGGGAGTCGGGGGGGGGGAGGGGGCTGACGCCATGACTGACGCCATTCAGGCCCGGGAGGGGGGAGGGGGAGGGGGAACTCACGCCCTTCAGGCCTGGAAAAAGGGAGAGGGGGGGAAGCTCGCTCAAGCTTTTCAGGGGGGGGGGGCTGACGCCATAGCTGACGCCATTCAGGCCCGGGAGGGAGGGGGGGGGGGGACGCCGTGACGCCATTCAGGCCCGGGAAGAGGGAGTCAGGGGGAGGGGGGGGGCTGACGCCATGGCTGACGCCATTCAGGCCCGGGAGGGGGGAGGGGGGGGGGAGCTCGCTCAAGCTTCGCTCTGTGAGGGGGGAGGGGGCTGACGCCTTTGCTGACGCTGTTCAGGTCCAGGAAGGGGGAGGGGGGGGAAGATTCAAGACCGGGACGAGAGAGTCAGGGGGGGGGGCGCGATGGCTGGCGCCATTCAGACCCGGGGGGGAGAGGGGGGGAGCTCGCTCAAGCTTCGCTCTGTCGGGGGGGGGAGGGGCTGACGCCATAGCTGACGCCATTCAGGCCTAGGAGGGGGGAGGGGAGGGGGGGAGGGGGTGACGCCATGGCTGACGCCATTCAGGCCCGGGAGGGGGGAGTCGGGGGGGAAGGGGGGGAGGGCTGACGCTATGGCTGACGCCATTCAGGCCCAGGAGGAGGGAGGGGCACTCTGTCGGGGGGGGGTGACGCCATGGCTGACGTTCAGGCTCTGGAGAGAAGAGGGTGGGGAGGGCCGACACCATGTCTGACGCCATTCACGCCCGAAGAGGGCTTCAAGACGGCCCAAGAAGGGCCCAAGACGGCTCAAGAAGCTCCAGGGAGGCCCCCGAAAACCCCCCAAGAGATTCAAAAACTTCCTCCAGCGCTCCCCAAAGAAGTCTCCAGGATGCCTCCAAAAAGACCCCCGAGAAGCCCAGGAGCGCCCCCAAAAGGTGTCATACATCAGCTACGTCAACATCCCATGAGTTTGCCAGTTCACGCGAGATCGTCACTTTCAAATATCCGAAGGTTGCTGAGGATGTCTCGAGCGAGTGCTCTACTTTCAAACATAAGGTCATCCGTTGCAAGCATAATCGGTAGCACCCCGGATCGGCGGCACTGGCAGGAGGCCACTACAATGTATATATATATATATATATACTAGAACCATTGCGCGCGCTTCGCGCGCGGTCAAGTTCTAGCTCGGCTTGGTGTGCAAACTAATGGGATCTCATGTTAGTCCTTTCTTGCATCCAGGGGCTCTCTTGGAGGCCCTGCGCAAGCCTCGGAATCACTGCGGAAACGCATTAATCATTAATTCTCGTTCGGTATTCAACGATTTGGGGCACTCAAAGACTTCCTGGGTTCTGATCTAAGAGCTGAGGGGGACCTGAATTGTGGTCTGTTGTGCAAGAGTAGACACGGAACGGGGAATTGAAAACATGGAGCTGTGGGATTATGTTGTTCAAGTTGCCGTGCCTGGGCTATGGGTTAGAAGTTTTCTGGATGCAGGCCATGGATGTTGGGATGCCTCTCGTGGCCTTCGTGCAAAAATAAGCATCGGGCGATTTTGAAAGAGAACAGTCAGAAACATCTAAACTTCATGTGTTCGACTCATGGGATCATGGGATCGCGATTTCTACGGTGGCTTCAGGGGCAGCCAAGAGGACACGAAGACGATCCAAAAGAGTACCAAGACAACGTTAGAGAGTTCAACCGCGTTCCCGAAAAATCTTCGCATGTGACCCTGGGAGTCTTGATGGGGCTCGTTGGAGAGGATAGGGAGTAGGAGTCCCAACTTGGAAAAAAAAGAATATCTGGAATTCCTTCTTTTGTCAAGTTCCTCGGTCTTCGAAGTCTCTTGGAGGCTTCCTGGGAGCCTGGAGAGCCGACCGAAAGCTATCCTGGGTTGCTTGGGAGCGTCTTGGGCCTTTCTTTGACGCTCTGGGGGCTTCTTGGGGTCGTCTTGGGCTGTCCTGGGCGTTTTGGGGGCTCCCTGGGAGGTCGGGAAGCGCAGTACCGCGAGCGTTCCGCAGGTGTTCCGGGAATGTGTGGGACCCCAGGAGGAGGGGGCGCGCATTTGTTGAATCTGGAAAGAAAAAAAACTCTCTGAAATCCATTTTCCTCGGTCTTGGAGCGTTGGGAGCCGGAAAATCTGAGAAGGCGAACAAAGTCAACAAGAACCAATGAACATCAACGTTTTTATCCTCTTCGCGCTCTCTTGGGACGGCTCTCGAAACTCTCTTGGGCTGTTTTGGGGGCCTCGTCGGAGCTTTTTGGGGGGTCTCTCAAGGGTCTGGGGTGTATTGGAGGTTTTGGGGGGTCCCGGAGTCCTCTCGGAGGTCTCTGGCGGCCTCCTACTCCCGCTCTTGGGCTCATCTCTGGGCATGTTCTGGGGTGGTCTGGAGCTGTCCGGGGCGCCTCTTCGGCAGTCTTAGGACCGTCATGCTTGGGAGCGTATTGTGCGATTCTTTTACGTTCTGGGGGCTTCTTTGGGTCGTCCTGGGCTGTCTTTGGTCATTGTGGGGGCTCCCCGGGAGGCCGGGAAGCGCGGTACCGGGAGCGTACAGAAGATGTGAGCGAGGTGGAGGACGCCACGGGAGGGGGCCCGGCGTAGTTGTTTATATGATACATTCATACACACATGTATATATATATATATATATCACTAAAATCATTGTGCGCGCGCGCTGCCCGCGCAAGTTCTAGCTAGGCCGGATGGTCGAACTCTTGGGGGCCTTCATCTCCGGGGCTTCCAAGAACAACGAAAACGGACCAAGTGGTTTCCAAGACTTCCTATGGTCCACCCACGGCGGCCTAAGACAGTCCCAAGAGGCACTTCGGGGGCCCCTCTTTTCGCCGCGGCTGGACGTAGCCGGCGGGAGAAGGAGGAAAAGGGGAGGCGATGGGGTTCCCTGGGGGCGGAGGATGCCGAGGAACAGGAGGAGGTGGAGGAGGCGGAGGAGGAAATCTTGTAGTTCCTTTCCTTGCAATCGTAGCCAAGCTGCCAGGCGAACTTGAAGAACAAAAATGTTTGAATTCCCCTTTAAATACCCTCGGGGCCTCTTTGGGGCCTCTTTGGGGCCTCTTTGGGGCTTCTTGGGGACATCTTGGAGCCTCCTGAGGGTCTCCTGGGGCGAAGATCTCGGGTTCTCGGCTCATGTTCCCGATCCAGGGCCGCGGTTGGGGCCTTCTCGGGCCGTCTTCGATGTCTCTTCCCCCTTTTTGGAGCCGTCTTGGGGCTGTCTTGGGGCGCTTTTGAAGCCTATTGGGCCATCTTGGGGCGATCCTCGGGGCCTCTGGGGGCGTCTTGCAGCGTCGGGAAGCGGAGCAGGCGGAAACGCCCAAATTGGTCAACAACCAATCGAAAAGCATTGCTTTTGGCCTCTTCGAGCTCTATTGGGGGACCTCTTGGTGGACCGTCTCGGGGGCCAATTGGGGCCCTTTCGTTCCGCTTTGGCACAGTTAGTGGCACCCCGTTGGCCTCTCCGGGCCGCCTCTGGGAAGCGAATCGGAAAGGGTATCAGATAACTGTCCCAGATGGTTGCGGAGTGGCCGCCCCCAGGCCAGGGAGGGGCTTTAGCCATTTATAGTACGGTATGTGTATATACACACGCACACCTGTCTATGTGCATATACATATACATATATATATATATATATATATATATATACATAAAAAAAACAAATGTGTGAGTAGATATACGTGCAGATACATATTCATATCCGCTACCTGCCGACGTCCCCGAGGATCGAGCCCCGAAGATGTGGTCACGGACAAGCCCCCGCCCCTCTGATCTCCCTGGGGCCAGCCTCTCCTCCCGAGCCGCTTCTTGATCGTCCCCAGTGCCAGAGGTGGGCCTCACGAGCCCGAGAATGGCCGAAGTCGAACAACGAAAAACTGCACAAACCGACGGTGACGGCCAATCCACGACAAACCTTCCGCAAGAAACCCAAGAGGCCTCCTAGATGAGGTCCGAGTGGATGGGGTCGAAGGATCGCGCCGCATCGCCGATGCATCGGCGATGCATCGGCGATGCATTGGCGATGCACCGTCGACGTCGGCGATGCATCGTCGCCGTCGGCGTGGAGAACATCGGGATCACCATCGAGCCGCATCGCCGATGCATCGACGATGTGGCGCGATCCTCCGGCCCCATCTACTCCGACCTCATTTAGGTGGCCTAGAACCCTGGAACCTCAGGACGTCCACTGATTTCTGTTGTGGGAGCGATACGCTTTCTAGAGCAAAACCGTCGAAACCCAAGAAACCCAGGTCACCCTGGAGGCAACCAGGGTGTTTCTTGGCATGGGCCCCCACCGTAAACATGGACTTGTCGAAGGTCCGCGCGGATTTCTCGAATCTGCGCCAGACGCCCCTGGCGGCGCCTCCAGCGCCGGTCCAAGATACCAGCGAGAACCTCTTTTCGCGACAAGGGCCATTACGGACCCTGGCAGCCCCCCCCAAAAGTAACGTCACGTCACGATTCGTAATGACCCCCGAGTTGGCTTTGATTATTCCTATAGACATTCCCAAACGGCGCCGGCGCGAAACGTGAAGCAACTGGCCACCAGCCCTCTTCCCCCCCGGCAACGCCAGTCATCGCCTGGGAATCAGAAAAACGCTCTGCGTATTTTGTTCCTCGCAAGGAAGCGGGGTCCAGGAGCCATGAGCTGTATGATATTAGAACTTTCGGAGCTCCGCGCGGATTTCTTGAATCGGCGCCTGGCTCCCATGGCAGCTCTGCGCACCAGGGAGGGAGCCAGCGCCAATCCGAGAAATCCGCGGGGACCTCAAACAAATTGTGTTCATGCCGTTGTTCGTTCTTCGGCGAAAACCTCAAGACCCGTGTCCCTCAGGACCCCTTCATTCACGGCGTCGCCTCGACGGAGGCAAACTCCTTGCCGTGCTTGTCCTGCTCGTCCTTCGCCAACGGCACCTCGTGGGTAGAATCCTACCCATATCCACTGCCTCGCGAACTGGCCTCCTCGGACGCGACACCATGGATGCAGGGAGGCTCTGCGTGGATGCCCTGCGCGGAACCTATCCATGGGATCGAGCAAGCATCTGGGATCACGAACTGATCTCCAGGCAGTGATGGCATGGCATATGAATATGTTATGATCGTGGAAGCCGCCAAAATTGGATCCAAGCAGATGGCGCCAGAGTATCGCGCGGCGTCGCCGATACATCGGCGACATGTCGGCGACGTCGGCGATGCGTCGGCGCCGCCGCAGTGGAGAAGATCGATCGGACCTCCACGTCGAAACGCACCGCCGATGCATCGGCGATGCGGCGCGATCCTCCGGTCCCACACCTCCCCCCGACCCCGTCTGGAGCTCGCTTTGATCTTATTCTCGATCACACCGCGGCCGCCCCCCCCCCCCGCCTCTCCCCCCACCCTCCCCCTGGTCACGTCACGATTCGCGCCACGCGCCCTCTGTGAGCTGGCCATCCCGAGGCATGCTCAGACGGCGCCGCCGCGAATCGTGCCGTGCTGCCGCCCTGGTCGGTGCTCGGGTCACGGGAAGGCTCTCTCGGGCGGCCGATCTGGACGCGGGCACCCCCAGAACGCTCACGGCGCAGCGACCGGAACACGCCCCGATACGAGAAAACCGCCGAGATCTGACGAAAACGTCAGAAAAACCTCCTACAACCCTTAACTGGGCAGCCCCTCCTAAAAATCTCCAAAAACCTTGAACGAAAAAAAACCTCCGAAAACCTAAAACGGTAGAAAAACCTCCTAAAACCTCTAAAACCGCCCCTGTCACGCCCAGTGCACCGCCAAAAGATACACCAAAAAACTGCCTCCCGTCAGTCGGCTACACGCAGGAGTGACCCGAGGCGAGCGTGACCTCCAGTGCGCGGCCAAGGGGGGGGGGCCCCTGGGGACACCACCCGGCGCGCAGGACGCTGCTGCCGCATCGCATCCAGCGATCGAGGGGGGCCCCATTGGGCCCGCACTGAAGGTCACCACAGCGAAAGGACACTCTTGCGCAGCCGATTCTCGCCAGCCCAGAGATCCGACGCCGTGATTTTTTCAATACGCGGTCCCCCGAAGTCTCGACCCATTCCCCAGGACCGGTTTCTCATCCTGAGTCGTTTTTTGACGGTCCCGGGGCCCGGCGAGGGCCCCTGGAGGCCGAACATCGAGAAAAACCTGCGTCTTGATTCTTTTCAATACGTTGTGGAGGTCTGGGAGGCGCCAGCGGGTGCTCCCCCGGCTCCGCGGGCCCCGCCGCGTGCACGAGCCACGGCAGCGGAGGCCTCGCCACGCCCGGCGGCCCCACCTCTGGCGGCCCGCCAGGCTCCATGGCGGCCCGGCCCGCCTGGCGGCCGCCGCGGCGGCGGGCGGCGACGGGCGCCGCTGGCAGAGGTGAAGGGGCCCAGGGACACAGGAGCAGCTAGTTGCATGCCCAAGGATCCCCCATCTGCTCGATTTGCTACTGATTCTCGTCCTCCCCTTCCACTTCCCATGACTCCCATGACTTTTCCTGGGCAGCGACGGTTATCTGCGCCTGTGTGCTTCCCATCCTGCCTGGAGAGGGTGGGGGCGTCGTAGTGAAGGTTTCGTGTGGGGGGGCAGGAGCCAAGCGTGGCGCCCCACCACTGCGGATCAAGTTGAGGGGGCGGGTGCGGGTCGGGTCGCGGGTGAGTCGCGGGGTGGGTCGCGGGTGGGCGATTCGCGGGGGGGGGCAGCGGCGTTGCCTGGGCCCCTCTGGCCGATTTACCCCCCTAGATATGGGGATATAGGCCGTTCCCTTCGGGTTTCGAGGGGTGTGTCCCAACTGGGGTGGTGATTTGGTGGGGGTCTCGAGGGGGACGGGGACGGGAATGGGGATGGGGATCGGTTAAACGGCACCGAGCGAGGGAGGCTCAGGCGGGAGCCGATGTTTTGCAGCAAGGCCTTCCAGGGCTCTGGGGTTAAGTTGTAGAAATCCCGGGCGACAGCGCGATGCCCGCGTCTCTGGTGGGAGCGGGGGCCTTGGAAAAAAAATGCAAGGGGATATCTCAAGCGGAAGCGTTGTTATCGCTGGGCCGTCAAGGGTTCTGAGTAAGTTGAACGGGGGAAATCCCAAGTGAGAAAGTGATGCATGAGTAAATTGCGAGGGGCTATCAGGCGGGAGCGGGTTGTTTGCACACATTGCGAGGAATCTCAGGCGGGAGCCCTTGTTGTTGCTGTTGTTGTTGCTGCTGTAGTTCGGGGGCCGAACGCTGACATGTTGAAGGAAACCCGCGCTCGAGCGTGAGCCTCGCTTTCGAAGAACATTGCGGTGCGCTCGAGCGAAACCACTCCGTCAATCTTCCGTAGATCAGCAGTCGTTCTTCTTTAGACATGGATAATTCGCCAACAAGAGTCGGAACCGCGGAAGCCCACTTCATGCACGCTCCCAGGGAAGGTGCCACATCGTTCGGCCCCTGTCACTCTGATCAATGACACGCCGCTGAAAGAAGCCCATCAGCGTGTTGCTGCAGAAAGATCACCAGGCCTTCGGGCAGAAGCGAAGGAGTCACACACTGACGGGATCCCATGACGGCGTGACTTTGATGCTCTGTTTGCCTCTCGACGATGAGCTCAGGGTGCGCTCCAAGAATTCTGGAGAGTGCCCCACGTCTTCTCCTCCATCTCTGTCCTTGTCCCCCTTCTCCTGTACAAGATGGGGTCGTGTCGTGAAGGCATGCGCTTTGGTTTCCGACGCCGCGCGGATCGTTCAACATTGAACGATCGAGGCCTTTTGATAGCACAGGTCGGTCGGTATCGATTGGCCACAACGCACCAGAAACGTTCAGCCTAGAACGCCCGCGCTGGGGTCGCCGCCGCGTCGACGCGACATAGACCTGACGGGCTGCTGCATGCTTGCAGCTTGCAGTCCATCTGGAGCCGGGGAAGAGAAGCGTCGCATGCTGCGGCCCCTCGGGGCTGGGGGCGGGGTTTTGCTGGGTGCCCACGAGCTCGCACATGTTGCAGATGCTCCCGCTGCGTGTTGGCGACTTGGACGTCACCCGCGACCATGGATGGCTGCTCTCCTGGGGAGTCCCCCGACAGACTACAACGACCTGAGGCAGACTATGACTATGACGCAGAGCGAGGCGGTGCCGCAAGCAGCAGCCAGCCAGGAAGACCCTCAGACTGAGAGCCACTCCGACAACACTCTCCGCAGGGACGCCAGGTGCCCCCACCCTCGAGATGGACCCCCTGGCGAGGCAAAACTTCAAAACACTGCTGGCTGTCAAATAAACGCCCATGTGGGGCCAATGTGACAAGGCATCGAAACGTGCCCCTCGCCTCCGCATTTTTAGGGGATGGACAGACCCCCCTTTAGTAAAACGTGGTTTAGTGAAAACGCCCTGATGCCCAAACCTGGCGGGCGCAAGCCTGGAAAATAAGGGCCGCGGCGCCCTCTCGAGAACCGAAAACGGACAATTCACTAATCGACGTGTCACTGTTGGGGGTTCTGTCCACCCCCGAATTTTTAGGGTTCCTGGGGACGGGCCCCTTGCAAGAACGGGCGTACACTCCGGGAAACTTCGCGCTCTCTTCCAGCGCAGTCTTGCGCCAACTTTGAGATGCAGGGCAGGGTGTCGGGGGGGCCCTTTCGCAGGGGAGCAGACAAGGACAGAAGCATCAGAACTCGGAGGTCCGCGCAGGTTTCCCGGATCGGCGCTGGACCCCATCCGTGGCGCGCGGTGCAGGAGGAGGAGGAACAGGATGAAGGGCAACCGGGATAGCAAATGTCGCCCTCGCGGCGACGCCCCTTAGAGAGAGAGAGAGAGAGAGAGAGAACTGCCTTCCGCCCAGACCGCAAAGCGCGATGACCTGCGCCCCCCAAGTGAGCGACCACCTTGAACAGGTCTTGCGCGAGATGACGTAGCAGCCTTACGCGGAGGCTGACGCGGGGCGCTCACGCGCGACCTTACGCGGGGAGCTTACGCGCCGGTGTCGGTGCAGTCGGACCCGTTCTTTTTCCGTCGCCCAAGGGGGCTTCAATCCCGCCTGACGCCCGCAAAGGGCGCGACGCCTCGGAACTAGACGTTTGCTGCAGCGTGTCCGCCTGCAGCGCGGTTCCCTTCGACCTGCAGCCCTGCACCCCGAGGCCCGAGGCGCGCAAACGCCCGACCGTCAGCGCCGACCCTGGCTCCTCGGCCACAGCGGGGGGCTCTCCGGCGGACGTTCGGGGCGACCCGGGGACGGCTCCCAGCGGGGCGCAGCTAATGTAGAGCGCCTCGGGGGTCGAAAGGGCCCAGAAATCACCAAAAAACGTGTGGAAGTCTCCGAAGGCGGCGAACCAGGCACTCCGAAAATCTCAGAAACCACAGCTACTCCTCGCACTTGGTTTGCCAAGACCCTGAAGCGAGGCTCTCGTTGGGGAGATTCAGACAGCTATTCCTCGACGAGGTGCGCCCCCCAGTCGGAGGCGCACCCTGGTCGGTGCGCACCCCAGATGGAGTTTCCCGCGCTCCTCGTCCATTTGTCTCCCCCTCCTCCTCGATAGCCCTCTTCCGCTTACGCCTTGTATTAGTAACCCTCCGCTGGCTCGTCGCCACCAGAACGACCAACACAAACAAAATGGTCACCAACATCATCACCACCATCGTCACCATAGTCACCACGCTACCACCATCGACATCACCGTCGCCATCGTCGCCATCACCATGCCCCCGCCCCATCCCCCCCTCCCCCTCCTCCTCCTCCTCCTCCTCCTCCCCCTCCTCCTCCTCCTCCTCCTCCTCCTCCTCCTTCTCTCCTCCTCCTCCTCCTCCTCCTCCTCCTCCTCCTCCTCCTGGTCGTCATCATCATCATCATCATCATCATCATCATCATCATCATCATCATCATCATCATCATCATCGGAACTCCCGTGCTTTTCCCCATTCCCCTCCGATATGCCGGTTCCGCAGCCACTCGGGAGGTCCTCCTGGGTGCAGTTCATGCGCTTGAATATGCTCTTGATGCCTTCCCTTCCCACATGCCAGACAGCAGAAAGCAGGCGAACTGCCACATCAACTTAAACATTAGTCAGCACATTCGCCAAGCTCAGGAGCTGAAGTGCACCACCTTCCAGGCTCGCACATGCTGAATATGGAGGGCTGAGTCTGCGGCTCCAGATACGACCGTCTTCCTGATATAAGGCGGCGAACGCTGGCAAGATCCATCCGGGGCCTCTGATAACAATTTCGAAGCAGGTCATGTCGTGGCGACGTGGGCGCCCTTCAGAGTCTCCGTCTCCTCCCCGCCCACCGCTCCCATCCCGGCAAAACACAAACGCACGAGAACTTCGATCGCAGATCCTTTCTCGCTCCCCCCTTCCGAAGATCTCTGTCGTTCCGCCTCCGCCTCCTCGTCTAGAACACGAGCATCTCGAGACTCGAACGTCGGCGGTTCAAAGATGGGGCCCCGAGGGATGCCCTGAGAAGAAAAACCCTGCCTCCTGCCGCTGCCTCCTGCCCCTCACGCCGGTGGTCTCGGGAAAAACGGTCACCGACACGTCATCGCATAATCGTGATCGTCCTACTCATCATCACCGTCACCGTCACCGTCACAATCATCGTCATCATCATCATCATCATCATCATCATCATCATCATCATCATCATCATCATCATCATCACCGTTACCACCATCACCAGAAACCCATTTCCTCATCATGAGCATGACCATCATTGTCGTCGACATCGACATCGCCATCGCAATCGCAATCGCAATCGCCATCGCATCCTCCTCCTCCTCCTCCTCCTCCTCCTCCTCCTCCTCCTGGTCGTCATCATCATCATCATCATCATAATCATCATCATCATCATCATCATCATCATCATCATCATCATCATCATCATCATCATCATCATCATCATCTTCATCATTAGCATCATCATCATCATCAGCACCAGCGTCGTCATCATCATGGCCGTACTCAACCATCATCATAACATCATAGATACTGGCCTCACAAGCAAACTCGCCGTCGTCATCATTGGCACCATCATCAGCATCAGCATCGGCATCATCACCATCATCATCATTAGCACCATCATCAGCATCATCATCACCATCATCATCGTCGTCATCATCATGATCCTCATGTTCGTCATCAGTATCATCAACATCATCATCATCGTCGTCATCATCGTCAGCACATCATCCTCATCCTCATCCTCATCCTTATCGTCATCCTCATCAGCAGCATAATCATCTGCATTATCACCATCAGCAGCGACATCATCATCATCATCATCATCATCATCATCATCATCATCATCATCGTCATCATCATCATCATCATCATCATCAGCATCATCAGCATAATCATCAACAACATCCTCAACAGCAGCAGCAGCATTATCCACACCGTCGCCATTCTTATACAGAAAACGTCGCCGTCATCCCGACCACCACACTCGGGATCATCGCCCATCATCCTGAACATTGCTCCTCCTCCACATCGATGCATCGGCGATGCGGCGCGACCCTCGGACCCCATCTGCTCGGACCCCATGAACGGCGGCCTGGAGAGAGCCACCCCCGCACGGGGGCGGGGCGCCTTCCCGCACGTGCGCGAGGGTCTGCTGCGACTCCTGCAGCGCCGGGGAGCAGGGCGACAGGATCTGCACACGTTTGTGTTAGAAGCACGACAAAGGTCGCCCCGCGGCCAGGGAAAGAGGAGGAGAGCAGCAGGGGAGGGAAGAGCAAGAGTTATGTTGCTCCAATCGCACTCAAGGGCCACATTCCAGGAATACTTTCGAGCACCCCGAGAGGTATCGAAACAGCGTCGAAAACGAGTACGTATCGCCTCCCTGGGCCCGGCACACGCGAAAACCCTCCAGTTTCGACACTGTCTTCGTGCTCGAAATTATGTCTGGTGGTCAATGCTAAAGTCGGTGGGAGCATCATCAAGCAAGAGGAGAAGCAGCAGCAGCAGCAGCAGCAGCAGCGGCAGCAGCAGCAGCAGTGCAAGCGGGCTGACGCAGCCGGCAGCCGCGACCTGGCGGCCAGGGCCCTGCCAGGGGCCCTATACCATCAGACGCGCAGGGCAGCTGCCGCGCCCTGGCCAGGCCCATCCTGAACCCAGCAGTGATGTCAACGCCACGCCCTCCTAGCTTGGCCAGGAGGGCGTAGATTAGGAAGTAACTGCTGGGAGGTCGTCGGAAGGACTATAAGGAGGGTTAACCCCCTTGGGGGGCTGTTAGGCTGGAGTGGGCCTCGGATGAAGCGAGACTAATCTGGATTAAGCGGGATTTCATGAGATTCAGCGAGATTAAGCCAGATTAAGCCGGATTTCGGACCAGGGCAAAATCAGAATTTGACTTCCCAAGAGTGGCATCCGAACGCATACACCGCTCCGGGGCCCAGGGAGGGGCCCAGCTGGCGGGGAGACCGGAAAAAACACTGACACACCCCTACAATACGCCCCGGACCTCTCCCGGGGATGCGTTCTGACCAAGATCACGAGGCGAAGCCAGCGTCGGCGACGAAGGCCTCCCAGGAGTCCCAGGCAGGGTAGCGGTATGGGTACTCTGGATCGCTTAATAATCGCCCCCCCCTTGGAGTGCCCGGGGGGGTTGGCCGCGGCGCGTCCGCGGGGGTGCCAGGGGGGGTCTGGGGTTCGATCCCTGCCCCGCTGGGGCGCGGGGGTGGTGCTGGTGGGGGTTGGCCGCGCCGCGTTTTCACGCTTGTGACCCCCCGGCTGATAAATAAGAAGTTCGGAATACCCCTACCTCCTCTGAGCCAGTGGGCAGTGGTTGTGTGTATAGCCCTCCTCTTCTCCTCCTCTTCTCCTCCTCCTCCTCTTCTCCTCCTCCTCCTCCTCCTCCAACTCCTCCTCCTCCTCCTCCTCCTCCTCCTCCTCCTCCTCCAACAACTCCTCCTCCAACTCCAACTCCAACTCCTCCTCCTCCTCCTCCTCCTCCTCCTCCTCATCCTCTGCGTGTTTGGAGGCCTGATCTCGGAGGCGCGCGTCCGACCCGAACATCTAGTACAGCCATCTTTGTTGGGCCGAGTTTCCACCACCGCCACAATAGGTAGGAGAGGG